CCCACCCCCCAGGCGGGCTCCCGCCCGTCTCGGCCCAGAGCCTGGGGCCCCCTCGGTCCCCTGGCAGGCAACCGGGGGCACCGGACGGAGCGTCCCTGGAGGCCACCCAGTACCCTCATTACTTCGAAGAGACCAACCAAGCCAGCTAATGACATTAAGCCCGACGGGGGAGGGCGCGGGCTCCTGGGGGAGGGCCCCTCATGCCCGGATTTAAGAAGGAGGTGGCCCCTGGATCCTGGCCTCTGCCACCCATGCTCGGCCCGCCAGCAGTGGACAAAGCTCTGTGGGTGCTGCTCCCTGCTCGCGGCTCCCCGTCTGTGGGATGACATCCCGGGGCGACCAGGTATTCGAAGCCTCTATCAAGCTAGTCTGGGTCCTCTGCTGTCCCACCTCCTGGCCCCCAAGACTACCCCACAGACTCAGCTGCCCGGTGCTGGCCCTTCAGGGCTGGACTGCAGCCCCTGCCCTGCCCGCCCCTGGGTGGCCCAGACTCTGCCTCTCGGACCAAGCTTGGCTGGCACCTCCTGCAGGCAGCCTGCCCGGGTGCGGCCTGGGGCCAACTCACTGAAGGTCTTCTCCAGCTCCTCACAGCGCCGAACATCCCCCACAAAGCGTCTCTGGAAGGCGCTCACCGAGGCGTTGAGCTGGGGTTCAGCACGGGGTACTCAGACTTCGGAGGGGGGGCTGGGGAGGTCTGCCCCCGGGGGCCCAGGCCTAGCTGTCCTCGAACCCTCTCCAAGATGCTGAGCACACAGCAACCCCCCCAAAGACCCCGTGCCCCGGCCACGGTGGGCCCGGCAGGGCCCGGCCAGGGTGCCAGGCCCGGCCGCAGGCAAAGCTGGAAGTAAAGAGCATCTGAGCTGGGAAGCAAGCAGGGCTGGGCCGTCCTGGGGGCAGCTGCCCGCCCGCTGGGACGGAAGGACGGGGTCCCTCAACGCCCGCGCACCACTCACGTCTCTGAACTCCATGAGGCCCAGCTCGCCCAGCTGGCTCACGCAGGTGTAGGCGGCAGCGGTGGGCAGGAAGAGCTGGACCAGCGCCACCTCCTCACTCCGGAACATGGAGCCCATGGTCCTGGGGGGCGGGGGGGGGCGGGGGTCAGCCGCAGTTTGGATGGAGTCATGACTCCCTCTGACAGACGGCAAAACCGAGGCCCAGAAAGGCCCCCGTGGGTGCACAGGTACACAGGAGGTAAGCAGCGGGCAGGCCCGGCCGACCACAGCCCGGCCCCCGCCAGGCTCTTCCCAGCTGGCTCTGCCCTGTCCGAGCCGCACCCCCCAGCCACCCCCCCCAGCTGGCTCTCCTCACTTCACCTGTGACCTACCCTGTGACCTGCCGCCCTAGATCAGACCCATCTTTGGGGCCCCAGGCCAAAGCCAAGATCAGACCCATCTTTGGGGCCCCAGGCCAAAGCCACCTTCAGCCAGCACCAGCCTGGGGCCTTGCTGCCCCCAGGGAGTGTGGCCAGACACGGGGCTGTCCCCCCCCCCCCCCCCCCGCTGAGGTGTCTGTGCCTGGCAGGGCTCCAGCCCTGGGCTCCGCCGTGGGCTGCGATGGGGCCGACGGGGGCCGCCCAGGCCTGGCCGTCCAGCGGGCACCGTGGGGCAGGGGAGGGACGCTTTCAGGTGTCGAAACCAGGAAAGTGAAACCACGAAATGGGCGGGAAGGGCCTGGGCCGCGCTGAGACAGGGCAGGGGAAGCAGGCAGCTGCCCAGCCCCCAAGCTGGGCCTGGGCCACTTCCCCTCTGTGGGACTCGGTTTCCAAAGCTTGCAGATGGGGGGGGGACCGGCAGGGGCCAGGGCCCCACGGAGAGGGCCGCCGGTGTTTGGCGCCAGAGAGCCCCGCCTGCTCTCCGGACGGGCTGGGGCCTGCCCTGCGGCTGGTCACTTCCTTCCACCGCGGCTTACTTAAGGTGAAATCAGGAACCTCGGCCCTTCTTGCCCAGGCAGTGCCGAGCCAGGACCCCAGGCGGGCAGGAGGGTCTGGGCGCCCTGGCTGGGATTGGCTGTGCGAACTTGGGGGCGGGCCTCGCCTTTCGGGGCCTCCACTTCCTCTTCCCTGCAGCTGGGATCTGGGTGGGGAGGTGACAAAAATAATCAGAGTCCCCAAGCAGTCCCTTCCCTGGAGGGAGGGGCGCTGCGCCCTTTGTGGGCTGCAGGGCTGGGGCCGGGGTCAGGTGACAGGGCAGGCCGCTGCGTGGGCAGGGCTGAAGTCCCAGCAAGGGGTGTGTGCTGGGCAGAGCCGCCCAGGGCTGGGGGCAGGGGGTGGGGGTGGGACTTGCAGGGAGCCAGGTCGGGGGTTCAGCTACCTCAGCTCCAGCCTGGTGGCCCCACCTCAGGGGCCTGGCGCTTGGGGCAGACCCTGGCCCAGGGGTGGCTCCCTGGGGGCTGGGCATTCCCATGGGTGGGAGAAGCTGCGGGTATGGCATGTAGGGACCTGGTCATTTCATTGACCTCCCTCCCCCTCATCCTCCAGGGCTCCTGCCCCCAACCCCATCAAGTCTGTGGAGCAGTGAGCTTCCGTCTGAGTCTGCAGGGTCCAGGCCCCTCCCCCTCACGCGGAAACTGCCGGCTAAGGAATCCCAGGACTGTCTCAAGCCCCGGGCCCCCCATGAGCTGGGCTTCGAGAGGGTCTGCCATCCCCCAAGCCCAAGCGCTCGGCCCCGGGGTTCTGGGTCAGCGGCTGTCTCCCGCCCGCCAATGCCCAGCTGGGCCGACCTCAGTTTCTCCGTCTGTAGAATGGGTCCCTCCCTCCGGCGGAGGGGCCCCAGGCCGTGGAGTGGGCTCAGCAGCTGTTAGCACCCATCCTCCCCTTTCTCCTCCGGGCGGTCTCCGTGCCCCCGCCCCCAGCGAAGACTGCCACCGGCGGGTGCCGGCGGGTCCGCCACAGGGCTGCACCCCCGACCCAGGTAGGGAGCACCGGGAACCCCTCCCGGGTAGGAGGACGCGAGGGCTGCCAGGCAGAACTGGAGCCCGCAGCCCGCGGCTGGGGCACTCACCCCGCCGGCCGCACGCGGCGCCGCTCCGCACTGTGCACCCCGAGTCGTGCTCCCGCGCTGTGCGCCCCGAAAGTGCTCGCGTTCAGCGCTCCTAGCTCTGAGCCTGCGGCCGCGGCGCCCACGCAACTCGGGCTTTCCCCGAAGGGCGGGGCGGGGCCTGCTGGGCCCCGCCCCCGCCCCCCTGGCCCCGCCCCGAGCCCGCGGCGCCGCGGCAGGAGGCGGGGCCTCCGCGGGGAGCTCCCGGCCGGTCCCGTCTGGCAAGGCAGGCAGGCGGCGGGGACCCCACGCCCACGCGGCCAGCAAGGCGAGGCGGGGACCCCGCGCCCTAGGGCCTAAAACCATGATCTGCTTGTCCCCGGCACGCTCCCCACTCTGGGGCGGGGTGGCGTGGGGTGCAGGGGGGTGTCCTCCTTGCGTGAGGCCAGCGACACCCAGTCCTGACGCTTTTCCACCTCCGACCCCCAGAGCCTCGAACCGCAACCTCCAGTGGGCGGCGGCCCCGGGGCCCTCTGCAGCCCGCCTGACCGGGGCACCCAGGGCTGGCGGCCAGCACGTGCTGGGCCTGCCCTGCAGTCAGCTGGCGCTCCACCTGCCAGGGGTGTCCCGTGACCTTGCCTGGGCGGCATCCAGCACCTCCGGACGGCACTCACTGTCCAGAGGCCGCACGTGGGACAAGTCAGGCCTGCCCACTGGGGAGAGGCGGAGGGGCTCCTGCGCTCTGGTGACCCCTGGACCCCACCCAGCAAGGGCTTCTGAGAGCTGGGGGAGGCTCTGGGTCCCCAGAGCAGGGCAGCTGAGGTCAGCATCCTCGGGAGAGAGGGGTCACCTCAGGTTCCAGGGGCAGCTCTCAGCACCAGGGGTGGGTCCAGGTCGCCGCAGCCCAGCTGGGCAGCTGTCCCGACTCTGATGCCAAAGGGCTCCCTCATGGCAGAGACCCCTCACTGAGGGTGGGTCCAGCTCCTCGTTTTAAATAAGCGCTCCATGTCCCGTGGGCACGCGCCCTGCCAGTTCCCCACTGCTGGGGATGTAGGGGCCCTTCTTTGCAGAGGGCTCCCCAGGATGAGCGGTGGCCAACATGGGAACTCTCCCTGGGGTCCTGCAGGTCCTCACGTGGTACCAGTCCCCAAGCTTGGCCAGGGGTGGGGCCAAGCAGGTCCTGGCCACTTGTGTCAGGGTGGGGGAAAGACAGGCTCCTTGGCTGCAGGCCTCGGAGCCGGAGGGTGACCACAGAGCCCGTCTACCGGCACCGCCTGGGCAATTCCCATTCCCCTGGCCCACAGAAGAGCCCGCCTCTCCCCTTCCCAGCAGCATCTGGGACTGGCTTTGTAAAAAGCCCTTTGGAAGGGCCAAGAAGGGGGACGCAACCCCCGGGACCAAGCTCCTTCGGGGACCCACAGTGAGATTCGGCCACGGCCCGCACGGGCTCAGCCCTTCCAGATCGACTCTCAACGACACGCCTGAAACACGCAGCGGGCTTCCACTGCTAAGGGGAGCCCCTCCGGAGCCAGCCTGGCCCAGGGCCGCTGCTCAGCCACCCCAGGCGGGGCACGTGTCCCTGGGCCCCCCGGGCAGGAAGGCCTGGCAACGGCAGCCCCACAGCATGAGCTGGGAGCTCAGGGAGGGAAGGGGATGTGGCTGGGGCGAGGCCAGCTCAGGGGCAGCTGGGCCTGTGTCACTCCCTCGTGACTGTCGTCCTGAGCAGGCCCCTGCCCCCACAAGGACGCCTGGGCCTGCTTCTGCCTCGTGATACACATCTGCCTCAGGCCCGGGAGCAGAGTCCTGCGGGTCCAGTGCTGGGTGGCCCTCGGCAGAGGACAGGCCCCAGCCCCTCCCCTGGGCACCCAGGCTGAGGGAACAGCCGCAGAGACCTCTGGCCGGCTAAGCGCTGGGGCCTGCCGGCGGGGCGTGGTGAGGGCCGCAGGCTGACATGCCCACGAGACCCGCGAGCCTGCCGGGCCCCACCGGCTGGGCCGGGCGCCAGGCCTCCGGACGGCACACTCGAGACTGGGACCAGGAGCTCTTTATTGGCGGCGGCCGCGCGTCACCGGTACAGGTAGTCGGCCTGGATGTTGGCGGCGATCTCCGCCTCCCACTTGTCCCCGTTGTTGAGCAGCTTCTCCTTGTTGTACAGCAGCTCCTCGTGCGTCTCCGTGGAGAACTCGAAGTTGGGGCCCTGCAGGGGGAGGCACCGCGTGAGCCCCCGTGGGGCCGACCCCCCCGGGGCGGCACTCGCCTCCACGATGGCGTCCACGGGGCGCCCCCCCTCCCCCCGCCGCGGCACTCGCCTCCACGATGGCGTCCACGGGGCGCCCCCCCTCCCCCCGCCGCGGCACTCGCCTCCACGATGGCATCCACGGGGCAGGCCTCCTGGCAGAAGCCGCAGTAGATGCACTTAGTCATGTCGATGTCGTAGCGGGTGGTCCGGCGGCTGCCGTCTGCCCGCGGCTCAGCCTCGATGGTGATGGCCTGGGGGCGAGGCGCGGGGTAGAGCCACCCGGGCAGCACCCCCCCACCAAGTCGGCCTCCTCCGGGGGCCCAGAGTGCCCGCGGTGTGCCCCGGCCCTGTCTAACTGCCGGCTCCCTGCGCCCGCTCCAGCCAGCCCCGGGGGCCTGGGCCCAGCCGGCACCGTCCGGTGGGACTGGGGGACGGGAGTCGGGGCGGGGCCATGCTCCCTTCCCCCAGCAGCAGGCCGTGCCCCTTGGGTGGCTCACCTGGGCCGGGCAGATGGCCTCGCAGAGCTTGCAGGCGATGCAGCGCTCCTCCCCGGAGGGGTACCGGCGCAGGGCATGCTCCCCACGGAAGCGTGGGCTCAGCGGGCCCTTCTCAAATGGGTAGTTGATGGTGGCCGGCTCCCGGAACAGGTAGCTCAGCGTCATGCCCAGGCCTGGGGGCGGCAGCGACCCGTGACAGAGGCGCCTGCCTCACACCCCTGCCCGCCTGCAGCCCTCCAGGCCCCCTTGCCCCCCCGCCCAGGGCCCACCTCGGGCGAGCTCCGTCCACAGCAGGGTCTGCGCCGCCCGGTCAGTCACTGCCTTCATGTCCATCGAGGGCTCACGCAGGTTGACATACTCTGTGGGAGGCAGACGGCGGGCCGTGGCAGGGGCCTCACCAGGCCCAGGCGGGGCACACATGGGGGCGCCCCAGTGCCTTCACCAAGCCTCCCCTGTGCCGCCCAGGAGTTGAGGGTGGAGAAGAACCGGGCACCCTGGGAAAGCAGCACAGCACCCCAGGCTCACACCAGCCAGCTCCCTGCTGCCCCACACAGGGGAGCCCTGTCCCTGCCCTGCAAGGGCGGACTCTGCCCCCCAAATGACAGGCAGTCTTGATCGCCCTCATTGTACAGAGTAGGAGCTGAGGCACTGAGGAGAGGGAGCACCTGCGTTTAGGGGCACCCCAGAACTCACTGTATGTGGCTGCCACTGTGCTGCCGTGGAGGCTACGGCCGCCAGGATGGCCTGCGAGAAGAGGGGTGCGTTAGTGCACTTGTGACCTCATGCCGGAGACTCAGCTCCCCACACCCCACAAGCCCCCCCCCTACCTGTGTGCGCAGCCTGAGTCAGGGCCCGCAGCAGCGTGGGTACCCTCAGGCTCTGCATCTGCGGGGAGAAGGGAGGGTGGTATGGTGGGTCCGGAGGCCCTGGTGCTGGGAGCCCCCGACTCCTGGCCCACCTCACCCCAGTCCTGCTGCACGCTGGTCAGGCATAGCACCCGCGAGTCCTCTAACATGGCCCAGCTCGGCTGGACTAAGATTTGGGGAGGCCCTGTGACCCCTAAGTTCTGTCAGTTGCACCTCCTAAGAGTCTTCACCATGGCTCCTCCACTGCATCCTCAAAAGGGCTCCAGCCTCCACGTCCCCCTCCCCTGCTCATCCTGCCCAGCTGACCACCCCTGGGCGCCCCTAGGCCAGGACTGAGCTGGGCCAGAGCCCTGCAGGGGGCCCAGGAGGCAGCCACGGCCCTGCAGGGGCAGGGGGCGCACCCCCAGACCCCGTTGCGGGAAACCGTCCAAGCCTTGGGATCAGAGCCCTTTCGGGTGGCGCCCCCAGAAGCGCCTCCGGCCCAGGCCTCCAGGCCGCTCCTGGGGGTCAGCAGGACCCCGCGGCGCGCACAGGCTGGGCGCGGCGCGGAAGGGCCGCCAGTGCGGTCGCCGAGGGCCCATTCTTCCGACCACCGACTTCTGTGCCCGATGCGCGAGAGGACCTTCCCTGACCTTCCCCGTGACCTCTGACCCCGCAGGGGCAGGCCACCCTGAGCGGGCGGCGCATGCGCGCGGATGGGCCGGCGTCCCCGTCCGCCAGCCCCACGCTCAAGGACACGGAGGCCGTGCGTCTTGAGGGCCAAGGTGGAGCCCGATCGTGCAGCCCACGCGCGTTGCGAGGTCCCCGCACTCGCACGGATGTCACGCTGCCCGGGTCGGCCCTAACAGCCGAGCCCAGAACACCCACCTTGAAGGACCGCCGCGCCGCCGCAGCCCAGCCGCCTGTCCGCCGAGAGGCGGGGCCTACCCTTTGGAGCGCTGCCATTGGGCCGGGTGGCTTCGCCTTTTCCGCGCTGACCTTCCGTGATGTGGTCTGATTGGCCAGTGGTTCAGCCGAAAGAGGCGTGGCGCGGAACGGCCTCTCCTCTGATTGGCTAGGGTGGAGCAGGCGCTTGAGGCTGCGTAGGACGTCGCCATGTTAAATTGGAGCGGCCAATAAGCGAGGACTCCAGAGGCGGGACATCCGGGGCGTGGTTTAGGAGGACTGGGGGCGGACCCGGCCCAGGGTCAGTAATAACGGTGGGGAAGACCGCGCTGAGCCGCGCGGTGACCCCGGCTGCCCCGCTACTGCGCAAAAGGAACGACTGTGCTGGCTTTGCAGATGGGGAACCAAGGCGCGGACTTGCTCGGCAGCCTTGCCCCGGCCGTGTCCGCGCCTGCGTCAGTGACTCAGTGTCCCTCCCTCACAGGCGCCAACCTGGGTCTCCCCCCAGGGAATGACGTGGTAGAAGGACATGGAGGTGTGGGGCACTGAGAGGGCCCCCGGGCCGTCTGCGGCCTGGGTGTGGCGGTGGTCAGGGAAGGCTTCCCGGAGGAGGTGATGTCGACGCTGACAGCCAGCAGGCACTGAGCAGGCCAGGAAGGGCGGAGGGGGCGTCCCCTTGTGTGTGTGCTGAGTCCCTCTGCAGAGCAGGACGGCCGCGGGCGTTAGAAGGGGACAGGGACCCCTTCTGGCCGCGTGCCGGAACCCAGGGACGCTGCAGAGCCTTCAGAGGACCCTTAGGAGTCTGGACCTGGCCACAGTGAAGGGCCTCAGGCCGTGGTGGGCTAGCGTGCTACAGGGCAAGTTCTTGGGGTTGTGGAACCATCAAGACTTGGTCAGAGGTGGGCCCCGGGTGGGACGGGGGTGTCCAGCGGAAGGCACAGGAATTTGGCCTTGGCTGAGAGGATGGGGCCGGGAGGGTGAGTGGGGACAGTAAGAGGCTGAGGCCCTGGTGGGGCGCACTGAGGGTGAGGCTTTGCCCTCCCCCCTGACTCCCCCTGGAGGCCGGTATGTGTGCTCAGGGCTCTGGAGCTGATGAGCCGGTGGCCTGGGAGACCCCCGCGGTACCCCAGCCTGACCGAGGGAGGGTGGGAGAGCAGAGGAAGGCTGCGCACCCCCAAACAAGGACACGTGGAGCTTGGGGTCAGTGACACGCATTTACTAAATCCCCAAATTTCATCCCAGAAGGATCTCAGGAGGGTCAAAGTTTCGCCCTCCACCACCAGTGGGGGGACAGGCCAGACGCAGGGACAGCCTGAGTCTCAGAGGGTCCACGGAGGGCCTGACCATAGGCCACTGCCCCTCCTGTGCCCTGCACGGGAAGGGGGTGACTCGGGGTGCCACGTCTGCCCCTCTCCCAGGCTCGGTGGCAAGCGGAGGGCGGTGGCGGTTTCCACACACCCTCACCTTGACCTGTCCCAGTTGGGGTGCAGCTGAGGGAGGAGGAGGCCTTGGCGTGAAGCGGCTCACAGCAGGGTGCAGCTGCAGCCTCGGTCCTGCATGGCCAGCAGCAGCAGCCTCAGCTTGCCCGGCGAGTAGGGCGGGTACCGCAGACGGTTGATCTTCTCCAGGCCCGGGGGGCGCAGCAGGCAGGCGCGGTGGTGGGAGAAGGTGTCGAAAGAGAACTTGCCGTGGTATCTGCCCATCCCGCTGGCACCTGCACAGCGACACCGACACGGGCTGGGCCCTCAGTGAGCCCCAGGGGACAGCGGGCTGGCCCGGACGCTGCCGGTCACACGGCGTGGCCTGGGTGGGCCGCGTCACCTCCCCAGCCGCGGCTTCCCCGCCCGTTAGCAGGGGCAGCCCAGCTGGACCCATCTGGGGACGCTGCAGAAGGGGCTCAGCGGCCCTCACCAGCGCCAGCCCGTAGCGCCGGGGACCTGGTGCGTGTGGGGTGCCAGCTAGGTCAGGAGCGCATCTGCAGCCAGGCCGGGCTGAGTCCCAGCCTGGTCTCCCCTGTGCCTCGGCGACAGTGGCCCAGCAGGCGTGTGTCCAGTCCTCAGTAGCCGGGGCAGTGATGGGCCAGGCAGGGGCCCAGCCTGGGGGGGATGGGGTAACCGGGGGGTGCCTCCTGGAGTGAGGCTGGGGCCATGGAGTTGAGCAGACAGGGGAGTGGCCCCGGCTTGGGGACGGCTAGCCCTTGGGAGGCCTGCGGCGGGTCAGTGTGGGCAGGACAGGGCGGGGAGCAGGACCCCGTGGCCAGACTAGAGGCACCTGCCTCGGGAAGCCATGAGTCAGGCCGGCTCCAGCCTGTGGGCCCCGGGGGCCCTCACAAGGTACAGTGAGAGCAGATTCACCCCCAGAGAGACCCCCACTCTTCCTGAGGATAGCTCAGCACTCTCAGAGCCCTCCGCTCTCGCCAACCACTCTAGGGGCTGTTGGCTCTGCTGTGGAGGGTGGACTGGGAGGGCCCCCGCTGCCCCACTGGGAGGAAGTGGGCCCCAAGAGGTGAAGTGGCTCCCCCAGATCATGCTGCCCCTGGACTTGGCAGTGGTGAAGGGTCCTGGGGGGCCGCATCTCCAGTCACCCACCTCCTTGGGGAGGGGAGTTGGCAGCCCGTCTCCCGGGGATGTGCTGAGGGGCCCGAGGGGCGAGGGGCGTCCCCGTGAGCCCCGCTGCTCTGGAGCCGTCACTGTGCTGTGCAAACAGCACCCGCTGTCCCGCGGGCCTCCCGCCTGTGTCGCTGCACACAGATCTGGAAGGTTCCGCCCCGCGCGGGCGGCGGCGCGAGCGAGCAGGCGGGCACCTACCGACGCCGCCGAAGGGCAGGCTGCTCAGGGTCATGTGCATGAAGCCGTCATTCCCGCAGAAGCCCCCGCTGCTGGTCTGGGCCAGCACCCGCCGGACCACCTGGGGAGGCAGCAGTGAGCCGGCCCAGCCCCGCCGCGCTGGCCCGGGG